GGAAAGGTATTTCAAATCAAATTTAAATTTTTAAATCGTAATAATCTCTCTGCAGATTTATTTCATGATTCTAGTGCTCTTCCAATTACATTATCTGTCGTCGTAAAAAGTATCATTTATTCCTTTATTTTCCTTTTATTTTTTAAAAATAAATGATTCATTTACATTTATTTTTTAAAAATAAAGTATTCCTTTATTTATTTATTTAACTTTATTTTTTAAAAATAAAGGGCCCATTTATCTTTATTTTTTAAGAGTAAAGGATTCATTTACTTTTATTTTATAAAGTAAAAGTAAAGTACCACCCCTAGAGCATTCTATAACTGCTTTCTTGGTGAAGCAAAATCACAAGCGTAAAGCGTAAGATGATCGTTTTTCTTCACTAATACTGGCTACACCATACTTGGATGACCCGACGAGCGAGCCTTATATTGGAACAGAGAGTGCGTAAACTTTGAAAAATTGTAAAATATAGCTTCAATTCGTTTTTTGAGTAATAATAAACAAATAAATAAAATTATTCTAAAGAAAAACTCGTTTTACATAAACTGATAACAGTGAAAAATTTTGGACCATTACGATCCAATGTCCCTTCTAAGGAACATATTGTATTCCCATAAGAAAAAAAAAACACTTCTTTTTTTACTATAACATACTCATATTGATGACTCAAAAGCTCAGTACTAAGGGTTGGTTTTTCATATTGTCACGGGAATCCGCTTCAGGTTTTTCGGGGTTAAATAGCAATCAAATCTGTTTTAAATATCCTTTTTTTTGAACCTGAGATAATCTAAGTGAGATGTACTATCTTCAAGTGTATTAAATTTAGAAACGAAATATACTGTGTCTTTCGATATTTGAAAATTTTCAATTTTGTCACAGAATACCTCTTAAGATTGAGTGACACGTTAATACGCAATCTCATCGAATGTGTCAGTTGATATCAATGCTTGGAGAATTTTTTTATGAATCACTGTGTAGGAAGTACGAGAAAAAACAAAAAAAGAGAATGGTTGAGTTTGACACATTGTCTCTATACGACGGGCAAGAACGAAAACTGTTCTGACTGAAGAAAACAAATAAGCCTTTTAAAGGTGTGTGCGCATACATACTTTTTTCGTTTTCATTTCACGGCAACAAGCAGAGACATAACCCATAGGTGAATATCGCGCTTTTGCTTAGTATGCATCCGTACAAAATAAAAAGCTACATATTCTGAGTGATTACTACTTTTTACACGCTTACTATTCAATTCAACAGCAGTACTTCTACAATACCTTTGGCAAGCATCGATTTTGTAAATTTCAGGCTTAAAAATTTCTCAGCAACCTTTGTAAACTTTTTGAAAATGGATTTTATTGGACTTTTTTGGTTTTGAAATTCTACTGAGTTTCTTTGAATATCTGGACTCTCGATTTTTTTTCTGAATTAAAACCGGCTTTTCTTTTCAGATTTTTATGGAATTTTAGGTTTAAATTTGCTGTTTCTTCCAGACAATACCACCAGTTGATACTTATTCTGTTATCAGTTTTGTGTTCTTACCATCGAGAAATATAATTATTCTGGATGGCTGTTACCTTATCGGCGGACGAACGACGACAAAATTTGCTCCCAAATGAAGTTACTCAAAACAAAGAAAATATTCAGTTGATTTGGCTCGATGGGAATATCGATGTTTCAGCTGATTGTCTTTGCACTCAATCGATGCTACTTGAACTCAATCCAGCTGCACAGTTTTATTCAGATTTCGATCGATGTGTCCAATTGATTAAATCGATCAAAAACGAACGAGTCTGTCTTATCATTTCAGGCGCCTTTGCACGTCAAGCTCTTTCACATATCTCCACTCAACGAACAGTCGTTGCTATCTTCATTTTCTGCGCCAACCGTCAGCGTCACCAGTCATTGATAAATGAGTGCGAGAAAATCGTCGAAATCTTTACTGATCGAGATCGTTTATTGGTATCGATTCGAGAGACTATGAATCTTGTTGAAAAACAAACGCTCGCATTTAGTCTTTTCGATCAAAAACAAAAAATTGGACGAGATATAAGTAAAGAATCAGCGTCATTTCTTTGGCAACAGATGCTAACTTATGTTCTCAAACAAATGCCGCAAGATCAGCAATCGAAACAGGAAATGCTTGAGATGTGTCGCCATTATTATCGACATAACAAACACGAGTTGAAGAATATCGATGAATTTCAATCGACTTATAAGAGTGACAAAGCCATTCAATGGTATACAGATGAATGCTTTCTCTACAAGTTATTAAACAAAGCACTTCGAACGGAAGATATTGAACTGCTCTACATCTTTCGATTTTTTATTATTGATCTATGTGCAGCACTCGAAAAGGAAAGACTTCTTCCGAAAGGCGAAACTATTCTCACTTTATATCGTGGAACTCAAATTTCAAATGAAGAGCTCGAAAAGCTTAAACAAAATGAAGGGAAAATCATTTCAACTAATGGATTCTTGTCAACTTCTCGCAATATCCATGTTTCACTTGGATTTGCCCGACAGAGTCTTCCTGCAGTTGATTTTCAAGCAGTTCTATTCGAAATTGAAGCCGATCCATCGTTGAATACGGTAGTTTTTGCCGATATCGAGAATAAAACTCGATTAAAAGGCGAAGAAGAAGTTCTTTTCAGTCTTAATGCACTCTTTAAAATTCGATCTGTCGACTTTGATTTGACACTCGATATCTGGAAAGTAGAATTGACTGTAACCGATGAAGGTTCACATAAAATTCAAGAATATCTCACATTAGCAAAACATGAACTAGATGATTATGCACCAATCATTTATTTTGGACGTCTTCTTCTCTATAGCTCCGGTTATGTCGACCGAGCTGATAAATATTTTCAGATGTTACTTAAGTCACTTCCATTTGATCACGAAGATACTGCAGCTGTTTATAATCAGATTGGAGCTGTGCAAGATTTAAAAGATGAACTTGACTTAGCACTGGAGAACTACGAGTTAGCCTATGAGATTCGTCAAATACGGCTACCGCCCGATCATCCTCACATCGCTGCTTCACTAAACAATATTGGAGGAATTTACAAAGCGAAGGGAGACCCTGGTCGGGCTATAGATTATTATAACAAGGCATTGAACATTCAAAAAAAGAATTATCCTGGTGATCATGTACACAAAGCCATGACCATGGAAAATATTGGCCGAGTTTATACCGATAAAAATGATTTTGACACTGCTCTTCTACATTTATTTCGTGCTCTAGACATGTACAAGCGTGTTTTGCCTGCTCAGCATCCAGATATTGCTCGATGTCTTGGTAATATTGGAGTTGTTCACGAGAAGAAAGGTAACTTTGATAATGCGCTTGATTATTATCATCAACAACTAGAAATGGATGAACAATGCTTACCGATAGATCATCCTGATCGTTCGAAACATCTTGACTGGATTGTTGATACTTATAAAAAAGTGGGTGAAATTGAAAAGGCATTGAATCTCTGTCGAAAGCAGCTCAATATCCAGAAAAGCTCATTGCATGAAACTCATCCTTGTATTGCTCGAACACTGATCAACATGGCTGATGTGCTTGAAGATAAAGATCCTAATCAAGCACTCGATCATTATGCGTCAGCTCTATGTATTTTGGAACAGTCAACACCACCTGATCATCGAGCAATATCTCAGTGTCTCACATCGATGGCATGCTTGTATAGCAATTTTGATATGTTAGATAACGCATTACAATGTCAACTCAAAGCCCTTGATCTCAACCGTCAAATATTGCCTTCAAATCATGCGTCTATTGCAAACAATTTAAGAAATATTGGCTTATTTTATCAAGCTATGAACAAGTCATCGGAAGCTCTTCGCTATTTGGATGAAAGCCTGTCGATTTATCGAGCCAACTACGGACAAGACCATGAATATGTTAAGAGAGGTGAAACAGACATTGTCAACATCAACATCAAAATCAAAATCAATAGTATATCAACGAGTATCGCGCGCACTTCATCGACATCGGATGAAGACATAGAAGAGTATGTTCATCATGGTCTTAAATCGACATCACCATCTATGCAGTTGAACTCAACGCCACAACTTGATCGTATGAAAACCATCAAAAAGAGAGAAAGAACTCATCGGGATAGTATATGTGTCATACAATAATATTTACTGCATCTGTTTCTTCCATTTATATCAGAAAATAATACTTCACATGTTTTCAAAGTTCTAAGCTCAGACAAATGAATGAATGTTAATTCATATTTACACATACATGAATTGATCAAAATACAAACGTTCATATGTTCTGCTTTCTTTTTAATATTTTTCTGTATAATCGAGTTAAAAATGCTATAAAACATGGGTGTGGGTGTGAGTGTGGGTGTGGGTGTGGGTGTGTGGGTGGGTGTGGGTGTGTAGGTGTGGGGTGGATGTGGGTGTGGGCGTGAGGTGGGGGCGAGGGTCGGAGTGGGTGTACATTTCCCTCCCACACACACGCATATTCACACCC